TCCTACTACGCGCTGCGCCGCGAATCGCCCATCGCGGATAGCAAATCCAGTCCATTCTCGGCTCGGTCATGCACAAAACGCCGTCCGCATTCAACTCGCAAACCACGCGCACCATCCTCCTCCTCAACCAAGAGCACGAGAAACTCTGGAACATCACCAAGGACGTGTTGTTGGGGCTCATCGGGCCCGAGGCATTCAAGAAAACCGGGCCGAAGCTGGACGGCTTCAAGGCCGCGTACGGCACCGTCCTGTTCTATGAAGATCAGCCTGTGGTGGAGGACCTGAAGGCGAAGTTCCCCCTCTATGCGGACAACTTTGAGCCCTGGTCCGAGCATACTAGTGGGATGCATCAGTTGATGGCGTGGGTTGCGTTGGAGGAGGAGGGGTTCGGTGCCAACCTGCAGCATTATAATCCTATCATCGATGAGAAGGTCGCGGCCAACTGGAATGTGCCGGCGAGTTGGAAGATGAGGGCCCAGCTTGTGTTTGGTGTTCCGGATGAAGGCAGGCCGGCGGAGAAAGAGAAGATGCCGCTGGGCGAGTTGATGAAGGTTTATGGGGCTAAGATTTGAGCGATCTGTTTGAGATGTTATAGACATGTAGCACAGCGATTAGAGATTGCGCATTCGATAGAGAATCATATGTGATGATGATCAGATCTTTCTACTTTCAACCCAGACCCTTCTGCGCTGTGAGACCTGTCACTATGATAGTTAATACCTCTACTTGAGCAGTATGAAGGCCAACGCACCGATCAAGCGCCCCCTCCACCAAGTGCACCGAGAGCCCCCAATGCTCCCGACTTTTTCACGGCACCAAAATCCATTCCTGCATACGCCGAGGGCGGCATCCAGGCCGCTAGTTCTGTCCAACAGTTAAACACAAAAAGGACCATGAGGGCGTTATAAGACCATGGAGCTAACGCTCACTCACCATCCGCTTTAGCCTTGCTACTCTCCGCAGTCTCATACCACGTCCTCAACACCCATAATGCAACCAACGCATCCCTCATATCCTGCTCCATAGATGCCGTAACAGCCAACTTCCCTCCATCGCCCTTCCCCCCCTCAAACGCCACCTCCCTACCCCGAGCATCAGTCCACCGATACCCACCCCCGGTCCACTTCATCTTGGCCGTAAACAGAGTAGTCTCAACATCCTCACAAAACAACGGCTTATCGTCCATACTCTTCCCGGCACTCAGAAGCGCCCGAAACTCCGCCTTCTGAAACCGCGACTTACTCACCTCAAAGCGGATATTACCCAACGATCCAAGGGAGACGGCAGTGATATAATATGCGGGGACATCTTTCCGGTACCGCGCATGCGCCGGATGAGCAAGATAGAATATAAGCTTCTTCTGTGGTTCCGGGGACTTGCTTCCCGATTCTGAGGGCGCGTCTGTTTCTATTCGTTCGAACTTTACGGATGTGAACTTTTGGGGGAGAGATGCTATGTCTCGTGATATCTCGTAAAGGGGTGTTGAGGGGGCGGCCTCGGTGTGGATGAGTTTGCTTGATAGGATGAGGGTAGTTGGAGGTAGGGTTTCTTCTCCGAGGGTGGTTGATGTTAAGGAGTATGGAGGGGACGGGTCTGAAGTCGAGTCCATTCTTTCAGGGTTCGATTTGTGGAAGTGAAGAAGTAGTGTGCTAATCGATGTTGAATATTGCGAGAATTTCACCGCGTGGCTACGCTCAAAAGATTTGGGAAGTCTAAAATACATTCTATAGCCAGATGGTATACTGAGTGTCATGAAGGTTGGACGTTGGAACATGACGTAGTCATATGGGGTGGCTGTGAGGTGATCTGCGAGAACCCTAACTTGGGGAAAGCATGTATGGACGAGAAGGATCGATCTCAGGCCGGTGTTGGTTCCTTCGTGGCAATGCACGACTGCCAAGACGCCGTTTGTTGTTAGACTCTCGTGTTTGGGTTGGGGCCCGTATTTGTAGTATGGTGTTATGGTGTTGGCGCAGTTTGGTGGAGTCAGTTTGAACGGCGCTTCATTCGATTATAGATCTTGGTGGTGATTAGTGAGGCCCACTATATGGTAGCTGCTGGCGACAGCTTCATGTTGTAGCAGGGGCGGTTCGATACATTAATGTATAAATTCATCGTTGTTAGTTGATCTATCACATATGTACAACAACCAGTGAAAGCATGCTCTAGAATACAAATCGTAAATCATACAGGCTCATCGCGTAGCTCAGTGGCCATCGTATAGGACCGGTCTAAAGACGCTTCCGTCTTCGCCAACGGACTCAAAACCTTCGATGGATGGAAAAAGCTCATCCCCACCATTGTGATGAACATCAGTGCCGAATCAAACACGTACATGAATACCTCATGGCTAATTAGGTACCCATCGTTGCCCTGCGCATACTCGATCAAGCGGAAGATCGACCGAATGAGGATCAGAACACTGGCGCTGTATAAGCCAAAGATAACAGTCTCCCAGGTAGCGTCGCGCCAATTGCGAGGAAAGATGGAACTCCCAACCGATCTGGACGTCGGATTCTTGTGAATGCGGTAATGGAAGAGGGTCGCCACAATGATGAAGACGCTGAAAAACACCAGTTGTACACATAAACCCGCGATGGTGATGTTCTCACCAGTGTTCATCCCACTGATGGTGCCGCTTGCCATGATTCCGGCGCCTTAAATATCGTGAGCATTACAGGAAAATGGATGGTGGAAACGCGGGGACTGTTCTATACCTGTCCCTTGTGCGAGGAATGAGATCACATCACCGGCGACGAAGATTGTCGTTAGCCATTTAGTAGATACCGGACTTAAATGCTCTGCGTCGAGATATCTGATGAGGCGGCCCAGAGTCATGTATATAGAGGCAGCGTAAAGAGGGGGCGCGAGAAGAATCAGAGTATTCCCCACGGCATATATGGGTACGGATTCCTTGTCAAAATGCGATAGCACGCGACAGATATACCCTATTATCTGGACTGGTCTTTGTTAGTCCCACGTTCTAAGGTTAACTTGGTGGATTTCCACAGAGAGATCGACTTACAAACCCCACCAGTCACAAATACTAAAAAGTACCAGCATCTTGGACGAACAGTTTGCCAGAGATGATAGGCGGTTGTTAGGCCAAATAGAACAATGAAGAGTACCGCCGCAACGAGTGATGGTGTATAGCGGTACAGTTTAAAGTCGATTCCACCATCGTCGTTACCACTCATGTTGACTGATATCACATGTAATGGTGAACCACAACGGGAAGGATAGAATAGATTGCACTAAGTTGAGGCTTCCATCTTTCCTTTTAGCGGCCACCTTCATGTTTTAAAGGGGATCTCGAATTCGAGTTCGTTATCGTTTCCACCTCCGGATCCGCTCGGTATAAGTCTCCACTCGCGCGCCCAGGGGCTTACTGGTAAAGATTGAAGCCCCTAGAGTGGCCAAGCCTGGTCACAGTAACGGCTATCTATTGAGATAAAGTAAATAGTCCGAGTGCTTCGGCGTACACTTATAGGAATAATAACCTATATATGTGCCATAGTGGGAAGTCGTTCAGGTTGGATGACAATTCAACTTGCCCGCTCGGTGGGTTGATAACAGGGGCCCTACTGGCGTTCAAAAGTACATCGTGGTGATCTATACCAATATGAACTGCACTCAGCTATTGATCTACAGCTCTTATCCGAGCTCTCTTGAATCTGACAGCGAATCTGCTATGGAAACGCAATCTACGTTGACCTTGGGTTGCTCCACGTTTCTGTTACCAAGATGCATAGTTGAGATCCACCACTCAAGGGAAGTTTTTAATGAAATGTGGATCATCTCGGTCCAGGCGGCCAATTAAATCCGCATAGCCCCGGATTCGACTCGGTGTTCGTTTTCGCTATCGTATTACTTCAATACGCCACACCTCGAACAGATACTGCTCGCGATCCCCATATCTGGGCCTACAGAGATCTTATTTCGGTTTTAACGAATAACGAAGACCTCGGTGCATCGCTGATACTCCAGACGGAACATGCCGCCCCGGAGATCACACAAGAAGTCTCGCAACGGCTGCGACCAATGCAAAAGACGGAGAGTGAAGGCGAGTACCCCGATTTGACAGCGGCATTGCCGGTCTATTTTATGTCTCCCTTATTAATAGTCTCCAGTGCGATGAAGCCGATCCATGTTTAAATTGTACCCGTCGCAGTCTTTCGTGCAGCTATCAGCATCGAATCGGTACCCCACAGCCTGAACCCAAGACGAAACATGCTGAACGACTCGTTGCATGCACCCCAGCTCCCGGCACATCTCTTGCCAAGATATCTGCACGGACCGATGCCGCCTTAAGCGTCTTTCAGCGCAATTTAACAGATACCGCATACTTCGGGCGCGAGTGGAACGGTCAAGACCCCGAATTGATGCACCATTACTGCACCTCCACATGTACCACCTTATCAGATCGAGAAGATATCCACCACGTGTGGAGAATCGAGGTTCCGAAAATCGCTTATTCCTATGAGTTTCTCATGCACGGCATCCTGTCGTTATCCGCACTCCATCTGTCATATGTCAAGCCCGAAAAACATAGTCATTACCTCACCAGCTCCACTTTCCACATGGCCCTAGGACTCCAAACTTTCCGAACTATACTTCGCAAGCCAACCGCGGAGAATTGCTTTGCCCTCTTCGCATTCTCGAGCGTCATCATGGTCTGGATATGTGGTGTCCCGACAGACTCGAAGGATGCACAGCCCTTGAGCAGCGTGATTGAGATGTTTAATCTCTCCCGTGGTATAACTTCCCTCCTTGAGTTTTTTCCCTTAATTCAGAAGTCTTGTCTTGGGCCACTGTTCTCTCAAGACTGGAGCGAGAAAGTGTATGTGACCTCTTTCCCTTTCATGTCATCGTGGCTTTGTCTTTCCAACTAATTTGCTTTCATAGGGACACACCACTCCGTCTCTTCCATGGCCTTAATGACCAAATCAATAGACTCAGGTATCGGCTCACAGTCGAAGTACTTGAAGAAGAGGAGAGATCAATCCTAGAGCATGCCATCATTGAGCTGAAGAAAGCCTGCCAACGTATTGAACGCGCCCACAGCCCTTCCGCCTGCGGTCTGATTTTCATTTGGCCGATTACAGTCCGCAACGGGTTTGTTAGCTTGATTGAGAAAAGGCAGCCTTTTGCCCTTGTATTGCTTGCTTGCTACTGCGCACAGCTACATGTGTTCCGGCGTTTTTGGGTTATGGAAAGCCGTGCAGAATCGCTGCTATCCGAGGTCTTGGCGGTTATGCCACCTGGGTACGCAGATCTTTTAGACTGGCCGCGGCAATTCTGTTTGCATGGTCCCGATATGGAGAGATGGTGTGTCCTTCATCCAAGTATGGAAGGAGTGGCTCAATAAACGTTCTCTCATGTCTATATTTGAATTCAATAGATGTCGAAGAATGTCCATGTTCATGACTTTCTCCTGGCTAAACTTGAACTAGCAATTCTTCAAATGGTTAGCCTCGGGGACCAAAAGCTATTCCTGTTCTAATACTGGGAGTATCCATTGTATTGCCCCTGAGTGCTACATGAGGGCACAAAAATCGATGCCTAACAGATGGTCACGTGTCACTATGTTAATGATGCACTAAGCTAGGAATGGTAATCGGAGAGGGGGCTGTAATCGCCCGATTAGGTTAGTGACATAGGCATCCATTCTGACATCCATTCAATGTAGAAGTCCACCCTGAAGCATTGCTCCCTGCGACCAATCTGAAAATGAGAATCTCCATCATCTCGGCGGCTATTACAGCATGCTGTCTATTTATAATAGGATGCGGTACGAGATCTTTACGGTGCTTCCCATAGAAAGCCTTCAACGTCCATAACTAATGAACAGCAGGCATCTTACTCTACAACAACACGCGGGTCCCACCGGAAGCGGTGGACCGGCATGCCTACTGCGCTGACTGCATTAACTATGCAAGCCGCGTAGATGATATGATCCGTCGTGGCAATAATGTCCGGGGAAACAAATCGTTCTTCAAATACGCTTCGGACGTATCGTGTCGGGGCCAGCTGCTGATTAGCAAGCGGTGTCTACGGTATCGCCGGGCGTTCCTTGACAACCCGGATAGGTTTATGTTCGATATTGAAGTTCCATCTCAGGCTTGTATTGCTATCAAAGCTTGCTAGGAGGTTCTGTGTTTCGCCTTTTCGTGTTTCGTCCTCTGTCGTGCTTTGGGTTGAGGCAGTGTTGGCCAATCTGTCACTCCACTGATATTGAGAACTGGATCCCAAGAAGTGGGGGGATGGTCCAAAGTCAAACTCAGGTCGTGAGGCGGGAGTTCCTAAGGAATCACTTGAACGAGATGAAAGCGCGTGGCATCACCTGATGCCACAGTTTGGCTTAGGAACAACGTATTTCTTGATTACGATCACCTTGGGTAATCTAAGTATCACTTGCCTGCACTGTAATTGCAACAAATTACCAATGCAAAGCGACTGACAATACTACGAAAATTATGTACATAAAATATCGACATCAGGCATGTGTATGATTCGGGGCTATCTATGAAACTAGTTTTGCACTGCCACTACATCATGCAGTGTTTAAATTCGACATCATCGCCTGGCAAAGACTCTTTCCAGAAAATACCACCAACAGTGAGGGTAACTATTCGGACTCCGTTAATCTAGGTTCGTACTTGGCTGTATTCATTACGAAAGGTATGGCGGACGATCGAAAGCCTCACTGTTAGGAATGCCTTCGACGGTGCTTAGTATCTGCTTTCACCCGACCTCCATGTAAGCGATGCTCAGCGACCGAGATTTTCTGTTGGGGATACAATGATAGGCAGCCTCTCAGGTCAACATGGCTGGCACGAGGAAGAGTAAATTCTCGGAGTCTGAAGCCGAAGTAAAAATGACACCAATGAAATAACGACGGAATAATATGTTAACCCTAACTTTGTAGTCAGTCCTCCAATGGAGTTGAAAACCGATCTACATGTATTTGTCCAGGCGACAGAATACTAGTATTGTCAGTGAAAGATCTCGGGCAGATGACTCGTCGGTCATGCTGACATATTTACTAGATAATGGTTACAGCTAGATAATGGTTACATAGTGGGGTGCGGTAGTAAAGCTGTATCAATTGTGCTTTCTCAACCCTTCCATTTCTACACATTTCTCTGTTTTCATATTGGCTGAGTTATGGATAGTTGCTGGGCATGCTTGTTGTATTCTTGTTCAGTACAAGAAGTCCAAACCATACTTTGAACCGGTTTGTGCCCGCCTAGTGAACGCCAATAGAAGTCACTAAGTGGCGCTGTGACCACTGTTCCGTGCCGTAAGATAGTCGAGTCAGACCACTTCCGGGTTGTAGAATCATGACGGAAAAGATCAGTGGACGCGGTCACATCCAGTGTGAAGTGGAAAGTTGTCACACCCATTGGTGTTACTTTTGCGAAGACAAATTGGATGAAGATTTTATCCACCCTCATATGAATGGAGCGTATGGCACAATATATGATCAGGACAACGAGCGTTATAATGATATCGACGATCAATGCGTTATTAAATGAAATAAACATTGTTCTTCTGCTAGAGTGACGGCGCTTATAGAGGTAATTTGGATTGATCAGCGAGTTATCCTGAGTTTAGCTATGTATGCAACCCTGGAGAAGCAAAAAAGAAAAGATTATTCGGCGTAACCCGATAGTAAAAGTCATGCCAATGTAATCCAGACAGACTTGACTTATGAATAGTAGCCGGAATAATTATTAAGTAACTTTCTCTCGTTGACAAATACTATCGTCGGATGCAGCCTCGAAATATATCTTCTAGATAGAGTAGGGTCGAGCACAGTATTCGAATCCAACTCGATCCAATTGCTTAGTCTCTCTACACGTTATAGTATATTGTGCTTCCACAAAAACCATAATAGACTTAAAGGTACTATACGAAGAATCTAGTTAGAGCTTTTTGAGCTCGATTGTTGAAGATCGGTGTTCAATTAGCACGGTTTATTATGGTTTGCCAATACTAGAGTACAAGATATCAAAACACATACATGTCGCTGGTAGAGAGTTTTAGCTTGGGTCTCTATGTCTTGTATTTGTGCACTTGCGAGTAAGGACTGACAAAAAAGAGTCCATGGAAAAACAGAGACTATAAACAAATAGCAAAAAGATGTTGACGAGAGTGGGATTTGAACCCACGCCCCTTTCGAGACTGGAACCTTACTCCAGCTGAGAGATTATTAGTTATTTGTTTGAGAATATGAGTATTTCATAGTGGTACTAACCGCCTTAGACCGCTCGGCCATCTCGCCCTGATTGGAATGTTCCTTCCATAACGTAAACTGTAATCCCAGCAGCCCCCAGCATGATGCAATGTCGACCTATCCTACTCCCCCCATAGAATACTCCATTGTACGCTCTACGGAGGCATCTTGCCCGAATTCAAGAGGAATATGTGTTGAGCTCTAATTGATGCCCAGTGGCAAGTGGTCGTGTGGGTGTGCACTGCCTTCACGACCCACTCAAGGTCCGAGGCCAGTCTCTGACGCCACGACTGCAACGAACTGCGGCAAAGGCTCCCACGTGGGCCAGGAAATGCCTCGCATTGTATTTCAGAATGTCGATTGATCATTACACCCCGAGCAATTTCCCTAAAGTGGCAAACCCCCTCGTGAGATCAAAACCACGCCAGTGTCTTCGGGTGTGAAGGTTTCCGCCAAGTCACGCGCCGAGATACCAAGATGGGCTTAGGGTTCTCTTCTCACCGGTGCAGCAACCCTAAACGATATCTCGAACCTCATCCTCAACCAGAAGATCAGGAACGTGCTGGAGAGGGCCTTCTGATTGGGTGTCATCCATCTCCAGTACCATCGGATGGCGTCTCGGCGGCACTTGGCGCCAAGTCCGCTCCTCTGGGCACACTGCGAGCGGAAGATGAGCCCTCGACCAATGTCTGTGAAGCGAGAGCTCACGTTCTCCAGTGTACCAATCAGTATCAGCTGGAGTGCCGAGATGAGATGCAGCAATTCGATACCTTGGCGTGAAGTCTGTCAGCACGTTCTCGCCGAGTGTAGCAATCCTCCCGAGTGCAGTAGAGAAAGGTTCCTACTTAATACTCGTCTTCCCGGAGAACAGTTTTGAGGTGTAGAGATATCCAGTCCTTCAAGCAACATCATATTCCTACCAACCCTTCTCCTCGCCCTCCACATTACCCTTCGGTGTGGTTCGGCACGCCGCCCAACATGATTCCCGCCATTACCGCAAAGTATGACTGGATCTTGGCAATAACCTCGATTGCCTTCGTCTTCAGCGCCTTCGGAAACGGTGCCAATGATGTGGCTAACTCATACGCAACGTCCGTGGCTGCCCGGACTCTGGAGATGTGGCAGGCGGGTATCCTGGCTACCATCACAGAGTTCGTCGGTGCCGTGGCTTTGGGTAGCCGTGTGACCTCGACAATCAAATCTGGCATTATCAGCCCTGATCGCTTCATGGGCAAACCCGGTACCTTCATGTTGGCCATGGGCTGCGCGGAGGTTGGAAGCGCCACCTGGTTGATGGTGGCTACGCACTACGGGTGGCCAGTATCAACCACGCAGACCGTTGTCGGGGCTTTGGTCGGTGTCGGATTCGCTACACAAGCAGAAATTTCCTGGGGATGGAAGAGTGGCAGTGTGTCCCAAATCGCGGCGTCTTGGGGTATCGCCCCGGCTGTTGCTTGCGGCTTCTCGGCTCTGATCTTCGGCACCCTCAAGTATAGCGTGCTGGAGCGTCAGGATTCTTTCAAATGGGGCATGCGTCTCATTCCCCTCTACCTTTCCGTGACCGGAGCTATCCTCGCCCTTTTCATTGTTGTTGAGGCCCCTACTGCCCCCTCACTCGAGGAGTTCGGTGCCGGTAAAGCCGTCGGCATCATCCTCGGCGTCTTCTTTGGCTGTCTCCTCATCTCCTACGTCTTCTTCGTCCCCTACTTCCACCGTCGCCTCGTGAAACAAGACCCCCGCATCCGAGCCTACCACATTCCCCTTGGACCCTGGCTCCTCAAGGATGACTGCCCCCTCTACTGGCCTGGCAAGGGTGACAAGTTCGTCACCAACTACTATGAAGATGCCCATGGCGAAGTCCGCGCCGGCCAGAAGGATAGCGGGAAAGAGAAAGCATCTGATCAAAAAGACACGAACATTTCCGACATCGAGCGCACCGCCGAATCAGCCATGGCTACTCCCCAGATCCAACCGAAAAAGCGCATCCTCGGCCCCCATGAGCGCTTCCTCGAGCCTGTCCAAGACCTCTCCTGGCTCAACCCGACCAAATGGTGGGGCTGGATCAAATTCATTCTCCTCCAGGGTGTCACCCGCGATGTGATCACCCACGACTCTGAGCACCTCCGCGCCGTCCACGCCCGTGCCCACCGGTACGACGACCGCGTCGAGCATCTCTGGACCTACTGCCAAGTTGTCTCCGCCATGATGATGTCCATCGCACACGGCTCCAACGATGTCGCGAACGCCGTGGGACCCTGGGCTGGTTCGTACGCCACTTACCTGTCCGGTGCGGTGAACACCGAATCGGAAACCCCTGTCTGGTTCCTCGTCATTGCTGGTCTGCTCCTGGGTGCCGGATTCTGGTTCTATGGTTACAACGTGATGCGGGCGATGGGTAACAAGATTACCCAGATGTCGCCCACTCGTGGCTTCGCCACTGAGCTCGGAGCCGCCGTGACTGTCCTCTTGGCCTCTAGACTGGGTCTCCCAGTTTCTACCACGCAGTGTCTCACTGGAGCCGCTACCGGTGTCGCTCTCATGAACTTCGACATGGGGGCGATGAACTGGCGCCAGCTTGGATTTATCTTCATTGGCTGGGTTCTGACCCTGCCTTGTGCTGGATTGGTTGCTGGACTCATTTGTCTGATGGCTTTGAATGCCCCACACTTTTAATGGCTTTCTGGATGGATAAAAAGGCGTATCGATGGTATTCTTGTATATAGATTTCGGGTTTGTGCTCTGCATTGCTTTCACGGCTTTTATACCCCCTTTAATCAGATAGAGTTGAATGCTGAAAAATTATTTCCATATATAATAATTGTCTCTCTTTCACTACACCGCATAATTATTTTCCACCCAAAAAGTCTTTGTGCGGCCAACCAGTACCTTGCGGACGCACCTAATAACGATCGACACCAGGAAAAAGCTGATCAAAACTATCCCCAAGGTCAACATCTACAAGGTCCCTACCGAGCTGAGTATAACTTCACAATGAATTCGAAGCAAACCACCCGCTTTCCGAAACCCCACGCCCGCAAACCCTCGTTCTCAACCCCCTCAAAATGAGACCGCACGCCCTCCTCCCCTTCCTCCTCCCTCTAACCACTGCGACACCCAAGCTGCAAGATTTCGATGCCCTCGGCGCTTGGTTCGACGGCGTCAACGCCATAAACACCACCACAAATGGAGCGCACAGTCCGACAAATAAAAGCACCAAGATTGCCATAGTTGGCGCCGGAATCGCAGGCCTCACGACCGCCCTCCTCCTCGATAGCGTCGGAATCCACAATTGGGAAATACTAGAAGCGAGTGACCGCGTGGGAGGACGGTTCCGGACGAAGCTCGTTGGGGGCACGGATGAATGGGCCGAAATGGGGCCCATGCGGCTACCCGTCAGGGTGCGGTATAACGATGGCGAGACGGTGGAATACTCGGACCATGCAATGGTGTTTCAGCTAGCAGAGCTGTTGAATAACATGAATGGCAACGAGAGTCAGTGGAAGATTGATTTTATTCCGTGGATACAGCATCATGAGAATGAGTTGCTGGCACGCGGGACAGGTCGGTTGGCTGATGGGTCTATTCCGACGCGGGGCGAGGTATATGGGAATGAAACTGGATTGGGGACTAAGGATCCTATGGCTACTGCCGAGTATGAGAAGACCAAGAGCAAGATGGAGCAGATATTGAGTACGAAGGAGATGCTGAAGTTCATTCAGAGGGATGTATGGCGGGCCCATCGGTCTGTCATGGATCGTGGACTGGACGAGTGGAGCGAACAGGCGATGATGAAGCATGTGTTTAACGCTAGTGTGAATGTGACCGACGCCATTTGGACAGGTAGTGATTATGATATATTCTGGGACGAAATGCATCATAATTCGAACCTTGGGTTGGATGGGAGTCCTGGTTCCTTGGGGGAGACGGAGTGGGTTTGCATTGATCGTGGATTCAACCGGTTGTCAGATGCGTTTTTGCCGCATGTGAGCGATCGGCTTGTTCTCGACAGGAAGATCCGGAAGCTGGAGACTGTTGATCACCCTGATGGGCGCATGCAGACGCGTTTGTCGTGGTATCCATCTATTGGAAATCGGACGTACGAGAGCAAAACGTATGACTACACGATTATGGCGGTGCCCTTTACCATGACTCGGTTCATGGACTTGCCTACGTTTTCTTCAGTCCTGGGCCGCGCGATCAGCGAAGCTGGGTTGCGGTTTAAGTCTGCCTGTAAGGTGGCTCTGCTCTTCTCGGAGCGCTTCTGGGAAAAAGGCGATAAACCTATTTTCGGGGGCTATTCTACTCCGCCGAGTAATGCTGTTGGGGCGCTGTACTATCCCGTCTATGGATTGAATGAATCCCGCCCAGGTCTGATCATGCATTACCGTGGTGGAGATTGGAGTGATCGGTTCGTCAGTTTCTCAGATGAAGAGCATGTGCAGACTGTGCTGGATGCTGTGGTTTCACTGCATGGGGAACAGGCCCGTGAGCTGTATACTGGTGATTATGAAAGACTCTGCTGGTTGCAGGATGAGCATACTGCTACCTCATGGTGTCGGCCTGATGTCGAGCAACATCGGCTTTATATCCCGGCTTACCACCAGACCGAACATAATACGATCTTCATCGGGGAGCATACGGCTCCGACGCATGCGTGGGTGAGTAGCTCATTACACTCATCTGTAAGGGGTGTTGTGCAGTTGCTGTTGGAGCTGGGACTCGTTGATGAGGCAAAGAAGCTTAATAAGGAATGGATGGGGAGGTGGATTCGGTAGGGGCACTGCGGTAGCTGTATATCGACCTGGATCCGGGAGATGTTGTCATTTACCTCTAGCACCTCTGCTGGCCATAGCAATGACACTTACGGAGCAATAGACAAGTCAAAGGCTATATTCTGATGATCAAAATGTTATTAACGGCGCTATCTATTTTGAGCGTGAGAAAGGAGTGATGTGGGGGTGAAGAAGAGTGGCCTTTGTCTATGGAGGCAGACGAAGGGAATATTCTTGGATCATTTGAACACAACCTAACGATCCATGTGCTCTCTCTCTCTTGTACTATTTTCATCATCGGCCCTTAGTGCTAGAGAAAGAAGAATAGGACTGAGATGAGCCATACCCTCTTTTGATTGTATATCCCATGGACCAGCTTGGTACATCGTCATAAAGGAGAGAGGGCTTCGTTTCCCAGAATTACCTTTCAGATAGTCTAAATACTGCTCATCATATCGGGCAAAAATGTGCCACATCTCGCCTCTGTCCTGTGAGACATTGTATCGACTAATCCTTTATTAGAATCAGCTGCAAGATTACACCATAGACAAGAAACTCACTGAATAGGAAGTTCTTCGGGGTTTGGTGGAACTGCTTTGAGCCATGCCACCATTTGGACACTCTCTTGAATGCAGATCTCTCGCCACATTAAAGACCTAAGAGATGCTTTAACCTCCACAACCGCACGCACATCTCCATTAACCTTGCCCCTAAGGTACCCGTCTGTCCTGGCTATATATTCGCCAGATTTGAATACGGCTTTGAAACCTTTCTGTTTGATGGCTCAGTCATTCGAAAGATATGAAAAGTTGCTTGTGATACCCTTCAAGAAGTTGATTAAGACCGCAATAACAATTTGCTCATCCGGCGCTTTCGGGTACATAATATTCCAGAGTTCCTCAGGCCCCCACGATCGATTTTCCCATGAACCAACACTTTCGAATGAGCTCCCTGTTAGAGATTCTTCAGGGGTCATTTCCATATCGTCATCCAATTCTACCCCATCCACCAACCTACCAGTCGGGTTGGTTTTTGACGTTGTGTATGGGTGCGTTTCTTCGGCTCTTTTCGAGCGGCTGCATTTCGAAACAGGTGATAAAATAATATCATCACGTATCTCGTCGTTCTGAACTTCACAAGCTTCCTCTTGGAATTTCTTGGCCAAGAAAAGATTTCCTTCACCACCTTCTTTCTCGAAACTTTCCAAGAAAGTGTTCCAGGAGGGATAGCCTTTCAGCATAGCTTGAGCTGGTTCCAGCAATCCACTCAATCGATTGTGATAATCTTGACAGAAGGGTAAGGTAGCTTTCCCTGCTGTACGAACATCACAATCTTTTGAATTGCTTTTAGGCGGTCTTGAGAGGCATCCATTGTAGCAGATTGGAGAAAGAAAGATGGATGGATTAGAATTAGAAAAATGACAAGATCGAGGGGGCTTCTTGGAAGAGAAATAATGGGTGGGCAATGTCTATGTTTATAATTTACAAGCTTATAAACTCTACCGAATATCCATGGCAAGTGCGAAGGGCATCACATCATAGGCATCTCGCCGCCTGGCGGTTGCCTCACGAATTCGAATACATCACGTATAAAGCCAGATTTTGAGCTGTGGTTCTGACTCGTTGCTGAGCATTGATTGAATAATAAGTAAGTAGTACAGATGTAATGATATGGAATTTTTATTGTCAATTGCCTTTGGGATCCATTCAAGATTGGGGACAAATTTAATGGCGTAGTTGACCCCCCCGAGACGCTTGATTCAGCAGAAATTAGGGGAGTTTTATCGCTAATAGAGCTAATTTTCTGTATCTCATAATCAGTACAAAAGGATTGGCACAAATCGCACTGTAGAGAAATTGCTCCCGGTTTCAGTTGTAGTTGTTTCCCGATTATGGATACTTGTTTCCATCACGGAAGTTGTATCATGAGCTCTGCCATTACCGGAGATTGAAATGTCAGTTCCCAAGAGTTTTTTGAGATTGGTGAACGCAGCTGTCAATTTATTACGATAACGCAGAAGGTCTTGTACATGTACATGTGATATAGCAGAAAGAACAGCAGCGGCCTCTAAAACTGATTGAAGCGTAGCCATTTTCTAAGTGACAGCGGTCTACTGGGAGAGGAACAACGAGAGGAAACCTAGCTGATAGAGAACAAGCCTGGTCCCAGAAGTGGGATACCCTTGTCAGCTTTCTCTGATAGATCTTGCTTCGTCGGCGGTTATCGAAGGCATGATGGTGGCAGCTAGTACTGGTAGTAAGGTTGGCTTGGCGCAATGATTGGTAGAACTGATAACAACTTTATGCATACGCTGTGGCTAGACCCCAGCCAACTGAAAGACAATGTATATATGACAAGATATATTCAAGTTAAATACGCTGTATATTGCAAATGGTAGACGCAAGAAACAGGCAAAAAGACCAAGGCACCAACCTCACCACCCCTTCAACTACCATGTCCTATCGTACAGCTCGTCCTCTGCCTCCTCGCTCCCCTCCAGCTGACGCATTGCCAGCCTCCTAGAAGCAGATCTCAAAGCGGGATGTCTCGCATCAACAATAGGTCTCACAAACCGCGACACACTACCCTCCCCCTTCCCCTCCTCAGCAACAGGGAACCATGTGTCCCCCAATCCCGTCGGCTTCGAATTAATATAGATATTCTCCCATTTCCCCTTCGGCACAATATAGGTCTCATGATAAATCGCAATATGCGGATGGTCCTTCACGATCTCCGTCCACCACCTCATACCCTCCACATGGAGCGAGCCATGCGCAAACCGATGCAACGCATCGTAATCTCGGAGATAGTAGATTGTCAGAACGTCATTACCCGCAGAATCATCCTGCTTAATCCAGGCCGAGCTGCCGAGGAGGCCGTACTTGACAGGATTAGAGTTCATCTCACGATTCATCGCGATGACTTGTCGATTGAGCTCGGGGAAGCCCGGGGCGAGAAGACCAAGGGGGTGGTTTGAGCGGGCCCCTAGGTGGAAGACCACAATCGACTCAGAGGCGAGTTCCTTTCCGAAGCTGCCGTCAGTATTGGGCGCTTGCGCGGAAAATTTTGTCTGGATGACGCCGCCAATGTAGCGGTTTCGGGTTATATTGGCAGCCATCAGCAAGTGATCGGTTGTACGGTATAGTAGGATTAGCATTGTCGGGATGAGGGCATAGGTGCCGAAGACCATGACGGCCAGGCCTTGTAGAAGTCCGCCCAGAAGAAGCCATGTTGAAAGGGTTAAATTGTCGCGAACTACTACCGATGTCAAGGGCCGGATTCGCGGGGGCTGAAGTATTCCCCGAGAGCCTGTCGACTCTTTTGACACGGTAAACGGTGGTAGCAGAGGACTGAATGCTGTCATTGTAAAAGCCAAATTGTTCTTCGCCTCGAAATATATAAATGTATTTGGTAATTGAAAAGCGAGGGCAAGATTTGAGGACGGCGTGCTGCTTTTAACCTTATTCTTTCGCTCCTTGCAGCACAACAACGAACATGCATATAATATCCGTCGGACTTTAACCAAAACGTAATTTGCCGATATTAAGTACTAAGTTGAATGTAATTGGCTGGCAACACAGCGTTAGGCCTGCCACCACTGAGCCGGACATTGATATAATTGGCCCTATCGTCAACGTCGGGCTCCAGCCCCGTACACTAGTCTCTTGCATGCGAATATTCCATACACACACATATAATCACTGGACATGAATGACCGGTAAATCTGAGGCACATCGTTATGATATCCTTGGGCCCTTGGGAGCACATCCAGCGGGCTAAATGCGCCGCTTGTATAGACTCGCTTCCTCACCGTTGAACCTAGGCTTAATCCTGCTCAATGTCTCGTCTTGGGGAAAATCTTAACCTTTCCATGTCACAAATAACACGAAACTTATTATTGTTGTTGTCGTCCCAAGGCGGTAGGGTACCATAGATGATCAAGTAGTATTTCTCAAGATATTTACATGAACAAAGGGCTTGTCATTTGAGCAGACAGCGCCATCTAGAGTTTGGTTCCCCTCACGTTGCTCTCAAAATATCAGGGGAACAAACGGCTAGAACGTGTGAACAAGCATGTACAGAGGAAGTAGAATTCAGTCCCTGACTACCAAGCCACTTTCCGCCCTCCTTGTCCATTCCATCCAACTCCCATCGTACACCCTTCGTTCCATCTCATGACCGGTCACCTGCAATGAGAGATCCAATGCGGCAGCAGTCACTCCTGAATTGCAAGTCAATATAACCGGCGTACTGGCACTAATACCCGCCTTCTCAAAGAGCTCCTTCAGTTCTGACAGGGGCAAGAAAGCCTTCGACTCTGCGTCCAACATCGCTGCCAACGGAATATTGATCGCAGAAGGCATATGCCCCGATCGGAGAGTGGGATCCGCTTCTTCTTGCATGCCCGAAAACCGACCTGGGATTCTGGCATCTATGATATGATAATTCCCTGGTTGGTGCAAAATTATGTCCCGCAATTCCTCAAATGCGATCACTTGGCTCACAGCTGGTTCGTGAGCAGGGTAAACAGTTTCCGGAAGCAGCGACATCTTTCCTTCTTCAACAGGATACCCTTGTTCCGTATACAGACGGAAATTGTTCAGGACATGTACCGAATTATGTCCGAAGAGGCGACAGGCCCATGCTACGCGTGGTGCGCTGTACATGCCTATCTCCACTGCGTCGTAGACGACCAGGATGTCGTCCGGTTTTATACCCATTGATCCCATGCAGTGGGCGAAGTGACTTGCTGTAGGAAGCATCTGGGGATATGGTGACGCATTGTCTGCTATAACATCCATATCAAAGAGCCTGTTCCTTTCCTTAGTCACGGTATGGTATGTGGGGTGACAACTTGACTTACACCGAACCTGGTATATGCTGTGTCTCGTAGGACGAGCGCAATGCCTCGCGCCCTGCGGCTACCGGAATGATGCGGCGCGTCGTGGACCCTCTAACGTTGTGAAATTCTTCTGGACTCACCAGAATGGAGGAGAAGGGATCGGTAGACATTGTGCGGGGGGTGTCTATGAAGCAATGGCGATGCAATGTATAATGCTACCACAGTACCAGTGCTTAAATCTAGACAAATACTATATTAATCTTCAATTAGAGCGCCCAAGATGATATGAAGTATCCTTGTCGCCTAATCCTAGAAATGCGACTCCTGTTTCCCGGCAGCTGAATCACAATTGAAGATCGCAACCAGGGAACCAATGTGGGATTCATTCCTTATGCATCTGCTTAGTCATTGTGCATGTGATGCATAACTTTCCAACTCAATGCTGAAATTCATGAAATTCTTGGCATTTTGACATTTTGAATTTCAACTTTTTGACATTTCAATCACATTTTGTCACCATTCAACGTGCCGTTTTTTGAATATTTTGCTGGAATACTGGATAAACATGGTCAATTTCACTCAAAATGCCAGTATTGAACGAGATTGATTCATGATGCTGTTGCATTTCATAAATGTCAAATTTGAATTTCACATTTGAATTCCATGACATTTTGAAAATCCCAAATTCTTATCTTATCGTCTCTTTCTTGTCTCCACTGATGGACCATACTACTTGTACTAAATGGGTTTAAAAGAAGATGGTTTGCTTGACCACTCTTGCTTCTCTGGTACTCTTCAGTGCACGGAGATATCAAGCTCCACAGATTGCTTTGATTATCTGTTGTTAGTTCTATATTTGCAGAGCACTGTACCACAAGGTCTCACTCCACGAGGTTTCCTGTCTCTGCGGTAGAACAGAGACGAGGCCTTTCGAATAGTTTGATAAAATAGTGGAATGTTCTTATATACCAAGTTACAGACACATCACACAAGGGAGTCCTTAGCCTTGTTACCCTAGCCAAAAACATTCAACTGGCTGTCCAACATACCCAGTGATATTAGGAAGCCATCCCGGAGCCTGGATATTGTCCACAGGCTCATATAGTTTTCCATTCCATCAGCATGTTACCTACGTGAAAAAAGCACCATTTGGCACAGTTACGGTAAGATATTCAAATCCAATATGTATATCAAATTAGCTCCCGACAAACAGAACAATTCGTGGTGCATACATGTCGCCATTCATCATAGTCACATCACACTCAGGTGCCAAACTGACCTCACTGATTAAGAGTCAAATCCAAAATGATCTTCCCCCTAGCATGTCCCCCATCCAACCTCGCAAAAGCCTCCTCAAAAAGCTCCAAAGGCCAAATACTATCCACAGCTGGCCGACACTTGCCGGCTTCAACAAGCTTCGTAATAGCCTCAAGATGCTCCCTCTTTGGCTCCATCACAAAGAACAAACTCTTAACACGTTTCTCCTTCAACCCCTCTGGTCGAACCTGCTCCGGGGGCTGGAAGATGCTAACCAAAACACCCCCATCCTTCACACACCACCACGCATCCGCCAGCGACTTCCCCCCAACACAATCAACAACTACATCAACCATGCTCCCCGGCTCCTCTGCCCACGCTCGTAAATCTGTCTTGCGATAGTCAATAACCTCACTCGCCCCCAAACCCTTCACAAATCCCACATTTCTCGATCCGCACGTCCCGACAACCGTCGCACCAACCAGCCTCGCAAGCTGGGTAACCCAGATCCCCACTCCCCCAGAAGCAGCAGTAACAAGAACCCTCTTCCCCTTCCACTCGTCACTGTCAAAGGCCCCAATTGCGCTCTGAACGAATAAAGCCTGCCAAGCCGTTTGCGCCGAAAGCGGGACGGCAGTCGACTCCGCCCAGCTGAGGTTCTGCGGTCGATGCGCCAGTTCATCGGTGACGGCGATGGCGTAGTCGCTGGCACAACCGGGTCGGAGATAATTGGTTCGAGCGTAAACCTCGTCTCCGACAGAGAAAGGGGAATTCTCGGGCGATTTGACGACCGTGCCGGCGATGTCGTAGCAGGGGATTTGAGTCCGGGGCTTCGGCGGGGGGAAGTATTTTAGCCAGTTGAGTTCGTTCGCGCAGGGGGACACGCAGTGGACGCGAATCAGGTGCTCATTGTCGTTGAGGTCCTGGATTGGCGTGCCCAGAGTGGTTTGGATGAGACGGGTTTCTTGGATGCTGGGTTGGAGGAGGGCACGCATTGTTTGGGGGAGGGTTGTGGTGGACATTTTCAGTAAAGGTCTTTGGTGGTTAAGTGAATTAGGCAGTAATTAGGTTACGTATTTCTGCAGGTTTGGAGATACTATTTGGAGTTTGGGATGTCTTCGTCTTATGATCTCGTATTTATATCTTGGGTAGATTTCAGGAATAGCCTTTGGATATCCGGCTGTAAGCAGTGAAGGAGGTCATGAGATTGACACCAGAGACGGAGGATGTTCATTTGTCAGAGGATGCTTGGCTTGGAACGATAAATACAGCAGGTATAAGGTAGTTAGTCCTTACGTTTTAACATTCCACGGTATCCCAACGTTCTAGACACGGACAGTGTTGTTCTCGACTCGACGGTGGTTGTTCCCGAATAGCCTATTGAACCTTGTGTTTCGAAAAACACCCGACAATGAAACGCAACTGACTTTCCGTGGCCTTCAGGCTGGCTGGTTGATTGGAAAGAAAAGGCGATTCGCTCTAGAGGATTTAAAAAGAGCCATGGTCTATTATTGGCTTGTTATATTATGCACCTCTGTTCTGGTCCGGCAAGGAGTTAGTCCGTAGGCTGTCTACTTGCTCTTCTATTATCTGGATATTCTGCTATTGTATTATTCTATTATATACTATATTCTATACTACTATTACTTTTCTATGTTCTTTTAATATTTTGAGTATATTCTTTTCTGAATGGGAGGAGGAAAGTCAGGGACCGCCAAAGCCGCTGCCACTTCCAATGCGGGAAGCTATTTTCAGACCACAAGGGGTGAAGAGATACAAAAGACAAAGACTCTGAACAATTCTTAGAAAGAATTATTTGTTTTTGGCTTGTGGTTGGTGGTTAATTCGAATGTGGTTTCAGGACGCTGGGCATAATTGCTGTAAAAGGGCAGAATGAATCGAAAGGCAAGATTTCTTCTTTACGGAATTTCTACAATAAGCGTCGCTAACACGTTGGAACCTTGCAGCGCGATTCCTTTGTAGACACTAGGTGAATAATACTGCCAGCACGGTATCGAATGCCATCCCCTGGCATTCAATCGATCTGGTTTTCCAGAAGGTGACTGCGTCCTCTACGTTTTCCTGGCCTAAGAATGCAGATGAAACTTGCCTCATCTTCGAGGGGTCAGATGCCCACCAGCAGCAAACAGTCGACTATCAACACTTTGGAACGGCAAAGGGGTTTCGACTTGCTCTTGAAGGCCTTTCCCAGGCTGTTGCAGCAGCCCAGAGTGTTGTTAGGTTGATCGTACCACAACTCGACGGTACATTGCGCGACGTATCGGGCGTCGACCTTTGAGCAGGCTACTCGCATTGTACGTGAGAACCACGTCGAGTTCCCGCTCATTATCAAGCCCTTCCTGGTGGGGTTCCAATCCAAAGGCGTATACAGAGTCGAGAATCTGGAAGATATCGAGGCTGGTATGCAAGCCACCGACACGGAGAGACAAGGTCTGGATTCTGATTGAAAAGTACTGCGACGGGCCAGACGTGGATTAGCCTGTGAGTGTGAATACTACTATAGAGTACCTAGTTAATAGTTACTCTGATCCTGGACTAATAACTCCCTGCATTTCCTTCAAGTCCATGACATGTACTTTCGGAACTCGAATTTCCACCATCCGAGACGCCTTGCTCAAAGAGATAGTCGACGTCGAGGAAGCTCTTACACGATACCGATCGCATACCAATAATCTCCAGGACTACCTTCCTTTTCTGCGTTAGATTCCCAGTGCCAAAACAGGGGCTAAGGCTTATAACGAGCGGCAAGGCATTTATATGAATCGTCTTATTGACCAGCTCAAATCAGATATCGCCAACGGGATCGATGTTCCTTGCTCCGTCGGTCAAATCATCAAGGACCCAAACTATGATTTTAACAATGGTACGAGTTGGAATCCTTCCTGTTCGCTCTCTGCACTAGTTTCAAGGGTAGTATGTATATGCTGACCATGAAATCGGTGGAATTAATGTCCCTCAGCATCACTCTTCTATCGGCTGGACTCGGCACAATTCATGCTAATTTGACACAGGGCGTCGCAGTCCTCGCATCTAAGCAAGGGCAGGAGATTCAAGAGGACATGAGGGGCGAGATTCTGGCCCATTACTCCTCGTTTGAAGAAGCCTGGGAGAAGGTAGTCGCCAAAGAAGCCGTCCCCGGTCTACAGAGTCTTTTACAGGAGATCCTTCGCTACTTCAGCGTCGTCCCCATGGGCTTTCCCCGAACCAACATCACGCCGGTGATCTTGGACAACGGAATTTCCATCCCGGAAAACACTTGGTTCTATATGAACTCCAAATCGGCAAACTTCGATCCACTTGCCTTCCCTGAGCCTGACAACTTCATTCCGCCACGATTTGTGGACAAAGAGGAAAGGGAGCCCCAGACCTGCCGTGCCAGCGGCCCCGCCGATGAGACATTTTGGCTACGGGGTGGGGACTCGAGCGTGTGTGGGTTACCATCTTGCCAATCGCCTCATGTACGGCATTCTCGGTCGCCTCATTCTGGGTTGGAAGATTCACGCCCCGGGCCCCGTTGATATCCATCATGACACGTACAATGCTTGTCCCAGCTCGCTTGTTGCAGTACCTAAGGACTTCCTGTAAGTTTATATATCTTCCCACAGACATAAATAGGGTAGGATGGGAATTGCAGCTAAAACATCCTCCACAGATGTTCTTTTTTCCCTCGCAGCGAGATGGCAGCGGAGGTTGGGAATTAACGAAGCAGGGAAAAACGGCAGAAGTTTCGATTGGAAAGTAAACGCTGCTAGTAGAAAGAGTTGGTTGAAATTGAAATTGAAAGATGGACCCGCGAAGTAATCATTTTGCTCCCCAAAGTGAAACAGTTCTACCGTCCATCCTTGTAAAGTCTGCAAGGAACCAATTCCAGGTCAGTCATGCTTTTGTAAGGACGCTCTATCTCAGGCTAGTTCGTTTCTTTTCAGATGCGTTCTAGAATAAAAAGTTGAAACTAGAATTGTTTTGGAATTAGGCTCCGGGCCCCCTTGCGAAGAAGCATGTTCGCGACTGAGACACCAAGTTGCTCTGCTTCTTCGTCGCACTGGACAGTAGCCGCATCCTCAGCAACAATCTCCGACGTTCCTTCTATATGCAGCACCATGGCGTGCAAGCTAAGGTGGCCGCCGCTACCATCACGGCCTCGTTCTGTGCCCTCTGTGAATCTGTTTTCTTCTTTCAGGGGCTCCATAGAAGACCGCACGCCGATTGGTGACGAGCATCCTCCCTGGAGACTTCGAAGCATCGCTCTCTCTGCCAACCCGCGCCATCTCGACGGCTTGTGGTCGACATGGCGGACCAGCTCGAGTATGTCCGGACGGTCCGTGCTGATCTCGACCCCGAGGGCGCCCTGACCTACTGCATAAGGGAATATACTAGTATCAAGTCGATGCGTGATCCGATGATTGAGTCCCAAACGTAACAGTCCTGCGGTCGCCAAGAGAATGCATGAAAACGGGGAAGAAGGCGCGTCAAGCTTAGCAAGGCGAGTATCTCTAATATATACAATGGTGCCATATTAGGATCAAGCTTTTTGCGCTGACAGTGATTGCGTTGCGTAGTAGCAAGAAACGGTGGAGAAAAAGATACGTGTCACTTACACGTTGCCGCGACATTCTACCACCTCCAAATGAGGCCAATTCCGCCGAACTAGAGCTTTCCTCCTGGAAGAGCTGGTTCCCACTATGGAACCAGGTGGTAATTGATCGATGGATGTGAACTTCAAATCGGGCCGTACACAAACAGCATCGGAACAGTCCTCACGCTCGGGGACCGCTCCCAGAAGACAATGCGGTGGTAGCGTAGTCGGCATGTCCTTTAAACTGTGGACCAGACAGTGGACCTTGCCGGCCACCAAGTCCAATTCCAGGTCATTTGTCCATAGGCTTTTACCAATATCTGAGCCACCTGTCAGCTTGGAAAGGACCGCAAAGGATGTCTGTTTATCGGCATCGCCAACGACACTGCCTGTGGCAATCCGAAAGTTGGGAGAGGGGTCGAGCGTGTGGCCCAGCTTAAATATGATCGAACGAGTTTGGACAAGGGCGAGCTCCGATTTACGGCAGCCAATAATAACAACCTCTTCTTCGGGCTTATGTTGCGGCGTAGAGCAGCTATTCACGTCCAGGCCCATGGTGGGTGAAGGGTATACGGCGGAGTTTACTGCGCTCTAGCGAGGTAGTTGTTTCATCGCAAGAATGGAAATTTGAACCCCTGCCAGGTGCCGTAGCCGTCTCATCAGGTCAGCAGACTCACCCAGTCAATCACGTCAATTTGATATTCCTTATCACCAACTCCGAGTATCCGTTGATACAATAGCGGGCCGTCGCCATGCCGCCCGTCACCGCCTGCTGTGACAGAGCATGCCACTTCCATATCGGGAAACATCGCTTCCTCCTTGGGGATAGCGCTGTTCCATGCTGTCCCACGCCGTCCCTCGCCGCTTTTAAGATACGTCATCTGCTTCCAATCAGGTACATATGTCTCTGGGAGTCAATCTGGAAAGCGGTGAAACTCGGCCCTCTTCGGTGCAACGACAGTTTATCTCCGTCCACATCCCGGCCCCTCCCGGCTCAACACCATTTTCCCACAGGGGACACTGCACGTGCCAGAGACCTTGACCCATGTTCAAATCCCTCAAGTCCTCATTTAATCATGTTTGAGTACGATCATGTCTTTGGATTGTGAGTTTAAGCTATTAGTGTAAAATAAGGTACAGGGCTTGGTAGAGAACTCCTCTGTACTACACACTAAGTATATATTTAAAACCTTTCCATTTACATCATGCTTTGACCAATCAATGATCTGCACTATATATATTATCATGGTAGGTAATTGCCATCTCTGATCCAACTTCAGCATATTTCGGCCTCGTAGAGCGCTGCCTTGGGTAGATTCGACCTAAACGCCTAGTAGATGAACCCCCTCAAGCTAGGCCACAGAGGTGACGCGGACACGGAGGCTTACTCTATAAATCAATCTGCCGAACCCAGAAGCTCCCATACAATCCCAATACGAACTTCGTTTCCACCGAGCATCTTGTTCAACTGCACATTCTGACCCCACTATCCCCACCGAAACAACCATAAATAACCTCACAACAAACATGACCTCAACAAAAACCCCAAGCCCAATCACGGAGGTAGCTCTCTTTCACTTAAAACCATCAACGGACCGAGCAGCCATTAAAAGGGAGCTATCGTCAGCCGCAAAGGCCCAGGCCTCCTACTCCAAGTACCCTACTTTCCTGTTTACCCAGATTGAAGACCCATCGTACATCTACCTTCTTGGAGGCTGGAGTTCAGTGTCGGCCCACATGGATGATTGGATACCCAGCTCTACAAACCAGTCCTTACTTGCTTCTCTCAAGGAGAAGTTAGATCTTGTGTACATGATTCATATTGAAATTGATCCTACTGAGCTGGGTGTGTTTGGATTGTCTACCGGGAGGTCAGGAGAGGTACCGATAGTTGATTCCCCTGTGATCGCTATCGGGCGTTATTTCCTGCGGACTGGTGAGAAGGAAGCGTTCCTGAACAGGTTCGAAGAGACTAAGACGCACTTGGAGGCGTATATTGCTCCAAGGGCATTGAAAGGTGGAGTTCGGGTGGAACCCAAGGATAGGAAGGCTGATGGTATGGAAAAGGAGGAGTTTGTGCTCTTCAGTGGTTGGGGAGAGGTGAAGGACCATTCTCAATTCGCAAAGTCGGATGGGTTCAAGGAATTTAGTCAGATAAAGGACTTCTTGGAGGGGGCGGACATTAAGCATGTCTCTGTTTGGGAGGACTGATGATATGGTCCTGGTATTGATGAGTGGTATTACGGGGGCCAGTCTCGTGATGCTTTGATCAGTCAACGGGGTTTGTTGCATAAGCTCGGAACGACTGAAAGTCGACCATATAATAGTGCAAGTTACGCCTGCGCTCTGTGCGTTTGAAAAATTATTAAACAACTATATTGCAAATATTAATCAATACAATGACTCGAGTCTGAGTCAGGTAGATTAAACTATATCCAGAAGTAGATAAGAAGCCGTTCACGACGCCGCCATGCCAACTTCCACCCAGTTCACAGGTGGTCAAACGGAGGAAGGTTCAGACTATTTGCCTTGTACCAAAACCTGCTTCTCCTTCTTGATCTGCTTGACGACTTCAATATCGACCTTCAAGGTAGTAGCCACGATATCGGCAGGAGTGAGGGCAAGCCATTGCGCCAGCGAGATATCGGCCACACGGTCACTCTTGTAAATCTCGATCCACACCAGCTTCTCAGTCTCGGAGGTATTCTCAATGTAATGCCCTGTTATCAAAACTTAGTTTCACATAGTACGGAAGATGGGTAATGATTGCTCACCACTATTATCAGGGAAAACGGCGGTGTCGCCGGCGGTAAAGTCGAAAGTGCGAGCCTTCGAGTCACCCAAGAACACGGTAGCGCGAGCATTACCCTTGTGGAAATACAGCCATTCCTCCGCCTATACATGTATTTAGTAATAGGACTACAGTTCTGCTCGAAGGAGGATAACTTACGTTTGGATGCCAGTGCAACTCCCGCAGTCCCTTGGGTTCAAGTTCCACCAATGCTGCAGCAATAGTTGTACTTACGGGGAAGTTCTTCGAGTCAATTTTCCTAAAGGTACCACCACTGCCGGGCACCGGCTCAGAGGGATGCTTATATGTGTGATACACATAGGAACTGTTACCAGTCAATGTGCCTTTGGGGGTCTCGTTCGCCTCTTCGCTTACCGTGCCGTTGAGAATGTAGGGGAATTTCTCGGGCACTTTATCGAAGACCGAGGGGTTGACGCCAAAATTCTTCGCGAGGATATCGCGCGGTGTGTGGGTTATCCAGTCATCCACCATGAAAGTTGTCCTTAAATCTTTGTCAGTATCAGGTCTTCTGGCGGAGTGGAATAATACTCACCCGACTTTCTCAAAGTCGCCATCGTCAAAGACTAGAAGGTATTCATTCTCATCATCCAGGCCTTGCACATTGTGCGCAACACCTTTAGGGAAATACCAGATATCGCCTTCTTCGAGCTTTTCGGTCGTGAACTGGCCATTTTCGTCTACGCCGGAGAGCAGAAGAGAGCCAGAGTATAGGAAGCCCCATTCTGCCTGGAGAAAAGTATTGTTAGACAAGTCTGTTCTTCATAAGAATAAATAAGGCAAAGAATGCCACTCACAACACGATGCCAATGAAGCTCCCGAATAGCACCTTTCTTCAGATGCTGTTGCGCACCAGAGATATCATGGCTCTGTGGCAGATCCTGGATGACTTGCTCGCGTACCCAGCCACCCGGAAAGAGCCTCGTTTTTGAGTCCGAAAAGCTCCATTTGAGGTTAGGGACGAAGCCGTTGTCGGTAGTAGGTTGGCCAAGATTATCGGGGTTTTGGAGGTCCAGTGCCTTGTTTGTGCCGCCTGTAATTCAGTGTGTGAGGATTGCCCGTGAAGGGCAGTTTTAATGAACTTGGGGGCTCAAGGTCTTACCTAAGAGAGGCGCTCCTTTGCCGTTGTCACTGATGGGTTGGCCGTCCTTAAAGCCGGAACGCTTGTCATGGACGACTGCCCCGAGAACGATCGGCAGAATGCTAATGAATGCGAGGCTCGCGGCCTTCATGGTGGAGGATATCCTTGGATGCGAAACTTGTAACCACAACTAAATTCGCCAAAGGGGAGATTGGTAAGTAACGATGGGTCCTACATGACGATACATTTACCAGCTAAATACTTTTGTATCCCCTGGCCCATCTTGAGAATTCATAATCACGACATATTCTCTCCATTGACGAATTTGATATGTAAACCCCGGTGGTGGTGTCCAGCCATCCCACATTCGCAGGAACAACAGAGTTCAATAAACATTCGCAATGATTTGCTTTAAATGAGGCCATTCACGGTCTAAGCACTATCTTACTACAAGCGTAGTGGACAAATCCCTAGCGGCGCAGATCAGCATTCCCGATGTATAACGACATGCTTGGCATTGTGATGAAATCCAGGGTCCCCCGCTGTACGCTGGGGACTTTGGAAAAGCTCCAACCTGGCACCAGGAACTCTCCGCTTGGCTACTGAAACTTAATTTAACGTCTAGTGCAGGTTTGGTACATGCCTTTGGCTCGTAAATCCCTTTCTTGCCCTATTGATATCGGCAGTCAAATAACCCTATATGGAATGGGGCCTCTTCTCATGGTCTTGGCATGCATAGGAAGATTTTGGCCTGCCCACTTCTCAATCACAGAATGGTCGCAATATAGGAGAACTTGGTAGACAATAACAACCATCCTCCGTCTCTTGGTGTTGAAGCTTTTGGAGGAGTTCTGGTTCATTCAAGTAGACTTCTATAAGTGAAAAAACCAGAGAGGTGCCAGAACCAGACAATGACAAGACAAGAACACCACAAGCTGTCCAAGACCCTTTCAACTTTATTGGACTCCAGTGAGCTCGGCAATTGATAGTTTAGTAAGTGGCTTGATATTAGAAATGATATGGCAGTTCCCGGACTAAGGTTCAAGGAGATCGTCGCTTTGCAGACATAAAGACCTGAATCAGTTCGCCTTTACAGGTCGACACGGTCAAATGCTCATATTCACACTCGTATTCGCAATCAGCATGGCCTTGATTCCTGACTGAATCTTCGCGCATTGGGTGCATCTTTAGATGAGTTGGCTGTCGAACTGGTCGCCCCTGCATAGCCCGACTTGGGTTCCTCAGTAGATCATGTACCTTGCATCCACTTGCATACTGACCTATCTGTACCTGATCACGACATCAAGTAGCATGTGAGGCGTGATTTGTAAGTGCTGTTTATGCTCAAGCATACCTTCATTGGTGCGCGATAATTACTGTCCTTGTTATTGTAGATACCAAGATTCAAACACTGATGGCCGGACTCAACAGGCCGCGGAGCATGTCCTTCCTGCTTAGCTCTCTTTCCAGTATTCCAAATACTCTCGAGGATTATAATTTCCCACCAAAACTTGCGTGCTCCTGTGTGAAGATGTCGTATGTGGGAGATCCAATTGACCATGAGCTAACGCGGGATAGCATCTTCAGTGTGATAGTAGGAAAAGAGGGAAAGGGAGACGAATATATAAAGAAGTATCTTGCTCAAATCTTCTCATCAACTAAATCAGCTTTCCTTCCATCCCCACCCTAGTCTTTCATTGAACATTCGATATAAGCTCCTACTGAAGATCTTTATCGAGATGAAGTCATCTCTCATCTACGCGGTCTCTCTGGCCTCACTCGGAAAATGTCTTTCCTTGCCTCCCCTGATTCCACTTATTCCAGGGGTGACTGAGCCTCTCACTGAGAATGCCCCTCCTTTGCCCATCCTGCAAGTACCAACCCCTCCTCTGGAGAGCCCACCGTTCACCCCAAGCGATATTAAGCCAAAGAAAATTGGCTACTTTTGGACTGGCTCCGGAGACAAGTTCCATAAGGGTATGTATATACCAACAGTTGGACTCTGTACAGTATCTGATGCAACTCTTAGACTTCCTTGCTACGTACAGTCTTGACGATGTAAGCATTCCCTTCAATGTTATAGAATTTGGACACAGCTAACATAGGCACAGGACACTTTCGGTACTCTTCTCTGGGTAACGGATGTCCCATCTAGCGGCAACGACCCGCATCACCTTGGTCCATCTCTTGACGGAAAGACCCTAGTCGGTGGTGGTCTCTTGTCGTTGTTGAAAACCCAGGTAAGCTCGCAAGGTGCTTCCTCCCATCATGCCAGTCCTCACAGTGCATCAGGATACGGCTTTCTACTTCGACACCACCAACCCCTACCGACCAACGTTCAAGAAAAGCAACCGTGCCCTCCTCTCATCCATTGCAGATGAAATCCGCGCAAAACCAGAAGGTGGATTCTACATTACCTACATGGGCTCCGCGGTTGGCACATCGCCAGGACGTCTGGTTGAGACCGACGCGGACTTCAACATCATCCACGAATGGCCCGAAGATGTAGAAGGAACGCTCAACATTCTCGAAGAGCAATTCTCTCCCCATGGCCTGAGCATCGACTGGGAGAGAAAATTCATTCTCACTTCGGACTTTGTTGAGCCCATCAGTATCTTGAAACCTAGCACGGGAATCCGCCGTGGGAATACCCTTAGACTGTGGGATTTGGACACTAAGAAGATTCTCAACACCATTACCATCCCCGATGTGTGTCCTTTCCACACAAACCTCATCCTTTGCTTTCCTGGTCGCTAATTAAGATGCAGGGCGGCGGTATTCAAGACGTCAAATTTATCCCTGGGAACCCCGATGGCGCTGCCCTCGCCACTGCAGTCCACCTCGGCCAAGTCTGGATCATCTACCCCGGACAGAAAGATGCCCATGGCAAGCCCGGTAGAGCAGAACTTCTCTATGACCTAGGCCCCAAGGCTCGCGATACAACCGCAATCTAGTACGTCCTCCCTTCAATACGATACAACCCTTTGCAATCCCACTAACCATATTTCCAACAGCACGGACATCACCCAAGACGGCCGCTTCATCTACCTCACGCTCACCACAGCAAACCACATCGCCGCCCTGGACATCAGCGATCTAAGCCACGTCAAGCGTCTCGATGACCCTGATGAGGATCAGCCAACTGTTGGCCCGCACTATGTCAAGGTGACGCCTGACCAGAAGCATCTCGTCGTGACGGATTACTTCGTGCAGACAGGTGAGATAGGGTTGATCAACACCCCAGCTGATTTCAAGGCGCTGTACATCGACTTGAACGAGGATGGTAGCTTGAGCTTCAACCGGTCGATTGATTTCAATAAGGAATTTCCGGCGAGGGGTGGCGCGAAGCCGCATTCTAGTGTTGTGTTTGACTTGACGGATCCGGAGCATCCTCTCTATTACTGAGGTTGTCGCCTGGGATTCAACGGGTTGGAGAATCGTAGGTGCTAAGGGTTGAAGGAGAGAGGTTGGTGGATGACGTTTCTGTAGTATGTTTTCATTTCGTTCCTTTTACACATATTCCTCTATTATATTGTAATTCAGGACATACGTTAATTTTGAAATGGTCTATCGTAATTGCTCAATAAATAGTTATAATGCTAACGCCAAGGTGATTTTGTAAGGGATAGATGCAAGGGTATGACAACAAAAACAAAACACGAAAAGGGAAAAGGAAAAAACAGAAAGAAAAGGCAAGGAAAGGAAAGAAAGCAACAAGCTCCCGCTTCTGATGAAATCGTTCAAGAATGCCGCGACGGAACACATGAGAGATCAATAAACCATATCAACTCTGAGATATGTGAGGCAAAGTAGGAGGTACACGCCGAATAGAAGATAGATTGGTCAGTCTTAAACAAAACCTGTACATACATTTGCCCTATTCTCCAACCTGAAGCTTCTCCATACCCGCCAAAAAACACACAACAGCGGTAGCAAAGGACCTCGCATCGTCTTGTCGCTCCGCCACGTGTGGACCAACTTGCTCCAGGAACAATGCAAGCTTCGAATCCTTCCATCCGAAGCTCGGTGCGAACTCCAAGCACATGTTCTGCATACCGAACGCGTCCAACTCATAGTGACCTTGGACAGACAGAACCCTTCCGGGGTAATACAGTCCTTGAATAGGACAAATAGGCGTGCTTCCGACATTGATCCATGGCGCTGGAAGAGAAGCCTTCTCATCAAGCGTGCTAGCAAGCCCCTTCTTAAACGCCATCACACGATCGCCATGGAACATTTGGATTCTCAGCTGTTGCTGTGGCAGGTGGCCCAAGGCCAGTGGGAAAGCCTGGACGAAGTCTTTCTCCAACTGAACGGTGTATATACCCACTTCTCTCCCGAGGGGGCATTTCTCAACATAGACATCTCTCTCAGTATCTGCCGGGTTTCTCATCAGAGCGTGTCCGATGAGCTGATGTCCAAAGCAAGTACCCAAGATTCGGACCTCTGGGTATTGTTCAAAGACTGTCTTGAGAAAGGTCTGCAGGCGTTGCATCCAGGGAGACATGTCCATTTCGTATACACCGGGTGCGCCGCCAGTGATCAAGACGGCATCGATTTGAGAGGTATCGGGGTATACAAGGTGGTCAGGATGACCTCTTAGCTTGCGCAGGTCAGGGTAGTGTCCTCCGCGAATGTCATAAGGAGTCACTGATATGTCGATGGGGTCATCGTGGGCTAGGGAGGTCTCGTTCAGACGTGAGGCAGTCTCTTGGAGGATGTTACGAAAGTGAGCGCTGCATAGGCCGTGAGATTCATAAAGTTTGCGAGGAGGGATATCAACGTCAAGGACGGCAATGTGGATGCTGCGGACCATTTTTGCTCTAGGGTTATGCTCAGAACTGATACAAGGTTGAATGTCAGGAGTTACCTGGGGAATTGGGAGAGAAGACTCCTGTTATATACACTCGCACCGACTCCACCTTTTGGTTGGGGCGGTTATTGAGAATTGCGCTAAGGGTAACGGATTTTGGCCCGAAATTGCGATGTAAATTGGATCCATATTAGCAAACTCCAAATGACTCCAAACGGAGGTCCAAAACTATAGAAATTCATGTCCAAATAAGCTTAACCTTGCTTACCGATATGCCAATCAGGTTAGATGTTGACCCCGTGGGGTCTCGATCCTTACCTAACAGTTGAGTTTTATTGGCAGGTCTTTGAATTCATTACCAAATTATTATTATTCATACTGAATTTTGTTGCTAATGGAATGATTTCCCCCTTGCCGATATATTCCGGTCTGAGGAAAAATGGGGGTAATGAATATTCATTAGTGGTTGGTGTCCGTTAAAGTGGAGTCCAAAGAACACCTTTATTTCAGTTAGAGTTACGAAATAGCTTAGCTTGAGCCGTATTCGGCTCCGTCTTCTCCTGTACTTCATGGGCAGCCGGATTTGAGTGAGAAGCCAACACCCCTCAGTGGCGTGCTTTTGGACTTATTGCCCGCATTTCCAATGGCCGTGGACTCCACAGGACGGAGCATCTGACCCCCGGTGTTACTGTCTGAAAATTATTAATCGCTTGTGCATCAGGTCCTACGCCGTCTTGTCCTCTGTACCAACGCACTCGTCGAGCCAGGGGTTGAATTTTGAGCAGGTTAGCAACGAAAGACGTACCCTAACAGTCCAATATCAGGGATGGCAGTACTATACCTAAACAACGGAGCCCGTCACTTACGCGATGATGGGCACGAATTACTAGTAGGTCTCGGAAAACACACTGTGTCAGCATTTCTCAGTGCATCGTACTCAGTTTGTTTCTTTTCCCCTGTGCCCTCTCCTCGCCTAACCCTCTTTTAGCTTTTTCTTCGTCATACCAAATGACTTTTTTCAAAGGGGGAGGTTGTTTCAAAACACATAAAAACTGAACCGGTTTCAGGGTGTGTGTCCAAATAGGGCTTACTAAACCCCAGACAGCCAAGAACTTCCACCAGAATTGAGTTCTATTGTTCCAAACAAGGTTAGTCTGGGGTAACGTGGCTGGCGATCATCAACAGATACAGGCTGGGACGTGCATCACTTCAACCTCAGCCTCGTCTTCAGAGGGGTAATAAGTAAATCCACCTTCATGCCTACTTTCCCAAGAAGCAATCAGGCATAGATACAACGAGAGATGGCGGCAGCCCAATTCTTCCATAGACTTTTCAACCGTAAAAACCGAGGCCCAGAGTCACCAAGGCCATCGTCGTTATCAATACAAGATCGCGCTCCAACTCCAGCTCCGGCATCAGCCTCAATCAACAACATACCTAACTGGTCTCGAGCAGTCCTAGAATCGGTCGGCGTCGACAACGCTACTTGTCGTGTTAATGGGTGTCCTACTGATTCCAAACACCTCCCAACTCTCCCGCCAGACTACTGCTCCGTGTTGTCTATATTAAGTGACAACAGACACCATAATAGCTCATCACCCGTAGAAATTCACCCGCAGAGTCAAAGTTCATTCTTTTCACGTCTTCCACCCGAGGTTCGCAATCTGATATATCTCTTCGCCTTTGGGAACCGCCGAATTCATCTCGATTTCGACTTCAACCCCCAACAAGGACAATGGAAATGGTGGCATCGAGTGTGTGACGATGCAGAAAACTGCCTCGACAAAACGTTCCAGTGTCCTGAGTACGCTGGCGCCGAAGAGGCAATGCTAAAACTTGCCTCACGCTCCTGGGTAAAGGAGGGCTTCGGGTATAAA